CCTCCCATTGGATTGCGGTTTTTACACACCACCCCGCTGCCTTGCGGGTCAGACTTTGGTTAGCGAAAGGCTCCGGTTGTGGATTCACCTACCTTGGCATGGACAACCTGGCAGTATTCCGCTCACATGCAAATCAAGGATCGTTTTCCTTTTTCCTAAAGATTATTGTACCATGATTTGTTTGGTACAGTCTGGATTCAGACGTGTGTGAAAATATATACACAAACAGTGGCGCTCGTGTATCTACTCATTATTCTAGCAACCCCAGTCTGTGTGAATTCTCTTCTATCTTTCTCTTAAATTTGCTCTCAATAATCCAATCCCCATTCTGCTCTTTTATCCAAATGGACGCCCAAAAGACAGCAACCAAAACTGGCGCACGAAAGTGCATGGTTAACGGCTGTACAAACTGAAATTGATGAGCTACGGGTGGCAATTTCATCCAGATGAGTTAGAAACTCCGGATTTTAATTCATCCACAGATCCAAGAACAGATTCCATGACCGTCCTCGAATGGAAAAGTCACTGCCATAATTGAACATTATGAATGTGTGAATCACAAATCAAGAAATTATTATTTTACATCCTGGATGCGGATGCCACTTTGCAGTATATTTCCCGTATGTGTTACCACGAGCTACCTATTCTACAAGTGGAAAGCAGTGACATTTTTTCTACTCTGAACTGAGTTGGGCGGTTGTGTAGATATTTCACATTATTACTCAACTTCTCTATAGTCACTGAATTCCTCATTCCGCTCTGAACCAGCCCGGTTTGTAGAAAATAGTGTATTTTTTCACAGATAAACTAGTCGATTTTAATTTTAGCGGATTGAGACGGTTGATTTGTTCGCATGATTACCGAAAACTTAAACTTGATGCGTTTAGCCGGACCAAATCAGTTTTGTCATCTTTACTTTAATCCATCTTGCAATTATTGACAACTGTGAGTTGTTTTTAACGAACAGCGAAAGGCCGATGCAGGGCGGTCGGCTTTCCGCACCAGATACACAAACGATTCAGGAAGTGTGTGAACTACCCTATGAGTTGTGATCACCCACTGCCATCTGAAACGGTTTAATCGAGTGTAAGGGCAAATCAATACGTGCCCTAGCCAGCGAAGCCTACCAGTCGGAATTCGTTGAACTAGCAGGTTTATCCCTGATAGACGTGCAAACACATGACGATGAACTTATTGTATAATCAAGAGGTGAGGGTATGTAATTTAACGACGTGATATTTTGAGTCATTCCTTCTTACGTACGTTTTTTAAGAATATAGTTCATCGACCCATCAGCATTAATAACACCTGTGATGAACCGATTTCTTCCGGCTGAACGCATCAAGTTTGAGTTTTCGGTAATCATGCGAACAAATCAACCGTCTCAATCCGCTAAAATTAAAATCGACTAGTTTATCTGTGAAAAAATACACTATTTTCTACAAACCGGGCTGGTTCAGAGCGGAATGAATATAATCCGGAAGACAAGAGTGGCTGCAGAGAAGTTGAGTAATAATGTGAAATGTCTACACAATTGCCCAACTCAGTTCAGAGCAGAAAAAATGTCACTGCTTTCAACTTGTAGAATAGGTAGCTCGTTTGCACAATCTTTCGTGGTAACACATACGAGAAATATACTGCAAAGTGGCATCCGCGGTGCCACTGAACCTTTTCGCTTATTCAACATCCAGTATTAAGACAACCGTGGGTAGAATATTTTACCGACCTCTACTCAATACCCCATGGATAACTATAACTCATTCATATCACTACCCGTCTCATTCCTTAAACCATAAATGATGGCACAGATGTAATCAGTATGTGAAAAGATACGATGGTTTGAACAATGTTTCAATACAGATAAGAAGCTGAGTAGTGAAGGAATGACGAAGAAAAATATGATTTCTGTTGGTTGGTGAAAAGGTTCGAATTTGGTCTTGCTATTCAGGTGAAATACTGTTACTTCTTTCACCATTGTTAAGTATTTTGTCCAGTGTGCATCTCAATGTCAGAAATACGCAAGCAATCGCATTTGATTCGAAGGAATCGATTTTATTTGATAGAAACTCGACTTCAATAGAATTTACTTGTTGGGTTATCGCGGGCTTAGACTGACTCCATTCATGCAATGAATCATGCTCACATTCACGAATGGGCATGGTGACCGACTTATCGATCCATCTTGACGTGATTCGCTTCCTTACTCGACCGACAGAGGTCAACTAACTCCGGTTTCATTTATTCGTATCTATGATGCACACTCGATCAACGATTCCCGGGNGGAACAGGTGTTTTTTGGAGAGGGAGGGGGTAGAGGGGCCCACCTCACGCCATCGAAACATTCATCCTCGCTGGGTAATTCACTCAAAAAGTACTTTTGTTTATTTACGGGGAAGTGAAATCATTCGGACTGGATGGGGTTTAGACAGACCCGATTCAATTGATGACATTTGACGGCCGAAACACCAATCATCTTGTGGGATTCCAAAGGACTGCGATTTGTTGGATTCACTTGAAGTTGAAAAGATATAGTGATCATACAAATATGTGATAGCAACTCCATGGTGGCCTCGAGATGGGTCAACAAACGAATGAGTGCAATAGGATAAAATCTGACGAGCGAAAGGACTTACGATAATGAAAACACTTCATCCCGGTTTTGATTTTCCGAGCAGCCAGTCCGAATCCGGCGTAGACGGATGGCGACATGCGAAGGGTAAGAACAGCTACCCGGGGAGGAGAGTTTGTGTGTAAAAGATTAAGATGCTCAAATCTTTCGCCATCAGCACTTGTGTAATATGTGAGAGAGACGAGTGTTCGTGTTAAATAATTGTTAGTTGAAGTGCAAGTGGATTAGACGATTGAGTTATCTCATCAACGATGGGGCGAAAGGAAAATTGTAGTGACCAGATAGTTAGGGCGATGGTGGCGAAGTGGTTTAGTGGTTGTCACCGGCGTGCTTTGGACCCATGGTCCGAGGTTCGAGCCCAGCCACTGCCACCAAACGTTGATGGTAAGCAGTTTTCCTGTCATCCGGTCCAACACCACGCCCAACCTAGTGGGGCCTTGTGCGAATCGCCACTCAAAGTCCCGGGGCTTGGGTTACTGATTTGCATCACTGAACGGAAGGTGCTCGTGACTATGGGACTTTTTCCACCTGCTGTTCATCACACTAGGGTGTGAGATAAAAATCTAGGATAGGTGGGAAAGCGTGATTCTAAATAATCAAAAAATGACTGCACATACGGTCACCATTTCAACTGGATATTGAAGTAGGTTGGGCAATCTCGCCGTGGAGCTGTTGTGGCCTGCAGTTGACGGAAATATTGGCCACATCTGCCTATGGCATTATATTGGCTAACTGGCCGATGCCATTGTCTCCACACACACAGACTTGCTCTATTAGAGGGTCGATTCATCTCAACCAATCAGATTTCAGTATTTAGCTGTCTACTTTGGTCTGTTGACAGCGCTTAGTGATCGCACTCTGGTCACATGTAACACATGCACTCGGTTTTACGAACTGCGTGTGTGTGTGTGTGGACAGCTTTGGCTGATCACCGGCTACCTGCGTACACACACACACACTGTTAACAAATGAATCGCCTAATTTTCCTACATGATTATTTANCTTGCTTAACTGGGACACTACAGGAGCTCATGGTTCGACTAACACGAAATCGACCCACCCCCTCCAATGGAACAATGACTTCATCCCGCCACTGTTTTATGTAATAAATTATTCTGTTAGAGACTTGCAGTGCTGTAGACCAAATGAACTTTCTACTTTGGCTTGTGTAACCGAGAAATACAACACTTTGCAGTGAGGATATTAAAAAGGCAAAATGGAATACACCCCAAGTGACAAGATATCTAATCCGATCACACGTACTACTCGAAAAAGTTTGTTAACTTTTGGAAAACGCGGTGCAATGTTCAAAGTGGCTCAAACACTATTCGATTGTATAACAAGATTAGGCAAAATGGTTGCTTTGATTCTGAGGTGGTTCACATAAATGAATGCTCTATTGTTCCCTATGTAAATATTTGGGTTCAATCCGGTGGAGAATACGCCAACTTCGTAGAATATCATTCATGGATGCGCGGGAAATGGGAATGCTCACATTGGATGAATGATCTTCTTGAAAGAAGTTGTTTGTGAGAAATGCTACCAAGTTACTGATGTGCTTGGACTTGAAGTTAGAGTTCGGCTCTCGAAGAGGCGGCTGCAAACAATTCACTGTGATGGATCTGGCTCGACGGAACCGCGTTGCCCACGTGTATACGGTGTGGGTTGATCACATGTATATTTAATACATTACAGATCTAATAATGTTTGGAGAATGTAGGAATGATATTTCTCACAATCGAGATTATTATAACTAGTCAACGGTTCGCTCATTGCGGGTAACCTTTTGTCTGAAGGCCAACTTTTGCAAGTAAATAGCTCGGAGCAAACGGTTGAGTCAACGACAGGTGTGTCTATACGAAACGTCGATAAACGCCAAATTTTTGACATAACAAGTAGTTCATTGTTTTTTCCGACAATTTCAACATTTTTTTACTCTTGTTATCCTTATTGGAACAATAATAATGTTTCATTGGTGAAATAATCTTTTTCCGGGAAGTGAAATGCAATCAATCAAAGGGATACGGGCAAGTTCAGACATGCGATTTGAACAGGAGTTTCTACAATCACTTCAAGATGATTTACCACGCTTGATTAATATCGCCCCATACTTATGACTGCAATTCGAGTGGTTTGATAGGCCTCTAGTCATGAGAGAAACATCATGCCACAAGTGGTCAAAAACCGGAATGCCTCACTCTTATCGAATGAATCATTTAGTTAACGGTTTTGAGGTTATTTCTCTACCACCAACCTTTTGCACAGGTCGCTGTGACCAGTTGTCTGTGATTGACTGTACAGTCTGCGCAAAGAAAGAGTCAATAATCTATCCCGTAATGCTATGGCAACTTCGTTCCTATGGGACGGGAGAGGAATAATATGTAATCAACGGCTGATGAGAATTGACAGAGGCGCTTGTGAAATTCACCAGAATGATCGGAATAGTATATACTCAAACTAGGCAACGGCAACTAGGCTCAACGGTTCACAAATATAATTTATTCAGATAGATACCGTATAACCGCACATGGAACACGAAGTACTTCCTGGAGTGATATGTTTAGGTATCCTAAAGGAACAGTTTGTACCAAGTCCATAACATACGGTGTTTGTAGTTGTTTCCGGGACAAAACAGTTTAAACAGATGCGCACCGAGGGAGATAAAAACAAGGGATGGATAGGATGAGAAAGTGATTTACTTACATTCTTGAACACTGAACATGAATTCCGGACAGTGGATCAGTGGAAGCACAGTAACATTACCTGATGATGAAACGATTGTAAAAAAAAGGGCTGGATCGTTCGGTCGAAATAAGGGATCAAGACAGTCTGCCATTATTATTATTATTATTATTATTAATGATAATAATTAATGGATAAGGTTACCTGGATGAGATAAAACAAATAAGAGAAACAATGCCAGGTTGCCAAAAATCAGACAACAAAGAAAAACCGAGAATGATTACGCGCTAAGGAGACAATCATCTGGAAGATCATCAGCCGTTATAGTTCGTGACACAAGCTTTCCCTAAAATGGTAGTGCAATTTCGCCCGAGAATCGCTCTGAATTCGATAGACACTGTATTTGGATCTATCTCTGTCATCGCAGGTTCCTAGTTCCTTCTCGATACCGAGGGGTGGAAATAAAGATGCTACAATCTGATTGGTCTATTCGGTGGATTAATATCATCCAATTTTTCCACGCTAGAAAATGAAGGCCGTGTGAAACACTAACAATAGCCCGGCATGGCGGTGGAATAGTACAATAGATTACAAGGAAACTCCCTAGGGACATGAACTAATTCCCTACGACTGATTTTTCTTAGTTATGCTTGGACAGAAAACAACTTAACACCAAGCACAGTTTCGTGATCCAGTCACCTAATCATTTCCACTCCATTTTTACATCAAAAGGGAGCTTTAGTCGTCCGTATATGTGATAGGAATGCTGACAGAAGCCCAGTCTAAATCTCTTGGAATCCCCCTTCATTATAATATCGAAGTCCTATCAAATATGCATCCACTAGTAGATGCGCTTCTTCGGCCTCGACGCCTTCCTCGAGTCAGAGACGGGCCCATTTCGACAGAATCGCGTGCCACGAGTGGGCATACAAGAGTGTCGATCGTACCGAAACACACCTTGACACTTGCCACACATTAGCTTTTAGTAAGTTGTCCACGTTTTTTATTGCACACCTTTGTGTGGGAACATCAGACAGGGTAAACCGCATAGTCACGGGAATTTGCTGTTCAGTCATAGAAACTGACAACCTAAGCCCTGGAGTGGCGAACCGCGTAAGGCCCCACTAGGTTAGGGGTGGTAATGAGCCTACCATCTCGAACCCTAAGGAGCCGTAGCACTCCGGGGACAACGACATAAAAGGCTTGACTACTACCATGTTTGGACGCTCGAAACAAACAACACAATAAACCGTCCCAACTGGCAGCCTTTCGAAATGTGCTAACTGAAACAAAATAAAATCGGCACCATCTGAAAACACCAGCCAGTGGTAGCCGCTTATAATTTCGCAGTTCACTGGCCTAATAAGCCGTGTTCTGGTACGTCGTGTCATGATACCCTGGATTTTTGCAGAATCTTTTTATGTTCACATGATGTATATCAATCAATCTCAGTTGGTAGCGAGCACAAAGGAACACGAATTTTAACGAGCGTGGAGATGAACGTAAAATGCGCTGGTTTCAATGTGCTGATGTCATGAGAAATTCCCATCTCATTAGGCTCATCGGTGGGAAACCACAAGGTCTGAGCGGATCGATCTGTGAATCTAACTTCTCAGATGTACACAATCATCAGCGACGATCAAAAGTTGCAGTTCGCCAAACAGACCTAGC